TATATGTGCTTATGCTTATGCTCCTGGTTCTGCTTCTGCTTCTACCCTAAACCCCATATCATTTATATAAAGCAAAAAAGCGTTGTACAGAGTCATTAAATTTGACTATTGAAGAAAATAATATTAGGATTGAATCGTATAACTATTGAGCATTGAAAGGCTTCAATTGAACAACAATATTTGCTGCATTTAGCAGCTAAATTAACGCTGCAATCATGCAGCTATGGATGCAACGCATGCAGCTACGGATGCAGGAATCTCCCAGCTATGGATGAAACGTATGCATGAGTGATATGGTTAAAGCTTGGTCGTGATGCAGGAATCTCCCAGCTATGGATGCAACGCATGCATGAGGGATAGGGTTAAATTTTGGGCGTGGTGCAGGACTCCACAGCTTGGTCGCCGGGACTCCATGGCGACCTACCATGTCGCCGGGACTCCACGGCGACCTACACATGCAGCTCCCGCTCTTTGGTCACCGATCTCCCCTTGCACCAATCTCCCCATGCATGCACGATCTCCCCATGCATGCACTGATCTCCCCCCACCCATGCACACCATGCAGCTCCCGCTCCTTGGTCGCCCCGAGTGCATGGCGACCTCCTTGGTCGTTGGGCGTGCATGGCGACCTCCTTGGTCGTTGGGCGTGCATGGCGACCTCTTTGGTCACTGTAGAATTAACCCTATCTCAGCAAATAATATGTCCAAAGCATTATCTCGTGAAAAAAAAAATTCGAGAACATTATCTCGTGGAATCAGTCTCTGAGCCTTGTATTCATTTTCTTTTATTTCAGTAAAGTTTTACAATGTCCGTCTTCTCCCTTTTGCTTTGATTCTCTTTTTCCTTTTCTTTCCAGTTCATCACTGCTAGTGTTACCTTCATTTTCTTTCATGGTATCATTCGCCTAAACTTCCTGCGGCTGTTTGTCTTCCGATTCTGTGCGGAGCTCCTGATTTTTGTGCTTTTCGTTTGCCCTAAATTTTCAAGTTGGTGCTAAATCCCTAATGTTGCGCTCCTAATCCTTGTCGAAGTGAAGTGGCTCCTTTGCTTAGCCTCAGCACAGTTCGTTGATCTCTGCACTCCGGTTGATTGTCGGTTTGCTCCTTCGATTTCAGGCTGCGTCTTTGCGTCCTATTTCTCTGCTACTCCTTGTTTGGCTCTTCGTTTTTCAAATCTGGTGAGATCGCTCCTTTACTGCTCTCGGTTGTTTTGGCATACTGTTTTTCAATTTACGGTTACCTTGTCGAAGTGAAGTGGCTCCTTTGCTTGGCCTCAGCACAGTTTGGTGATCTCTGCACTCTGGTTGATTGTCGGTTAGCTCCTTCGATTTCAGGCTGCGTCTTTGCGTCCTGTTTCTCTGCTACTCCTTGTTTGGCTCTTTGTTTTTCAAATCTGGTGAGATCGCTCCTTTACTGCTCTCGGTTGTTTTGGCATACTGTTTTTCAATTTACGGTTACTTCTCTCCGTTAATCTGGGATTCTGCTCTTCGATTTGTGTTTATTGTTCTCGGTTGATTTGGCATACTGCTTCCTTGCTGTTCATGACCTATTTTGCTACTTATATTTTGTTCTGGTTGAAAGCTTGTTTCTTTTATGGCAAATACTACTGATGACAGCGCTCTCAACTCTGTTAGCTCTGCTTCTGCTGTTTTTTCTAGACTATTTTCTACTAAGAAAATCAATGTGACCCTAGAAGATCAAAACTACCTGTTATGGCATCAACAAGTTTTCCTTACTATTAAAACTCATAGGCTTCAAAAATACATAGACTCTAACATCTCTTGGCCTACACAGTATGTAACTAGAGATGGTGTTGTTAGTATCAATCCTGAGTATGAACTTTATGAAGAGCAAGATGGAGCGCTTGCTTCCTGGTTGCTCTCCACTGTTAGTGAGGAAGTCCTACCACATCTCATAGGTCTTAATACTGCTGCTGAGATCTGGAATACTCTTCATAGGTTATACAGTGGCAAAACTACCTCTAGGTTGATATCATATAGGAGAATGCTTCATTCACAGAGAAAGGGAGATCTGAATATGGAGATTATCTGATGAAAATTAAATCTGTATGTGACAATTTAGCTAGCTGTGGGGAGATAATATCATAACATGAACACATCACTGCTATATTGAATGGTCTGTCACTTGAGCTTGAGTCAGTTATCACTGTTATAACTGCTGCCCCCACTCCTCCAGATCTAAAGTCCGTCAGCACCATATTACTGGATGCTGACATTAGACAATCTCAGTCCTTTAATCATGTCACAACTTGTGCTCATGTTGCTACTCAAGCTACAAGTGCTCATGTCACAGCGTGTGAGTTCTAGTTGCTCTAAAAGGAGGTATGGGTTTTGCTTATTACATGGAAAAGTTCACTGTCCATTATTTTTACATATGCGACAAGGTCTGAAAGCTGATGTTTTTTGCAGAGGAATACGATACATCATCGAGAGGTCACCGACATGTTCCTCCGGCGAGAGCAGTGGGAGAAGGTGTTTACCGTATCCCGAGGCACAATCCTAATAACAAAATGCACACTCATTTGGTATACGAACTTGAATTCCCACAGCCAAAAGAAGAAGAGAATGAGCCCCAAGAGTATCTCAACATCAAGCGAGAAGGCTCGTTCTTGATACAAATAAAGAACCCATAAAAAGCTACCAACTAAAAAAATTAGTGATATTTTTTAATTAATATTATTTTAAGATTTAAACATATATATATATATAGTTACACATATTGAATATAAATTTAAACGGTGAATATTCTTAGTTTATTGTTTATAACATTAAATACCTATATCATTCAAAAAAAATATTTTATACCTTTATTTGTGAAAATGGCTATAATGTGAACATTTATATATAAGCGTTTTGAAAGGAGTACTACATTGTGGAATTAGGTATGCTTGGACTTGAGACAAACCTAATGCTGAAAATTCTGCCTATCATTATCCATTTAGGACATCACATTCCACGGTTCATTAACGGTCCACTATAACTATTCTTTTTTTTAATCCTTTTCCCCAAAATATTTATATCTACGGCTTCGAATAGTCATAGTCTACGGGGCTAGTTTTGTGACTTGTAATGGTCAAGTTGGTCCCTATCTTTGTCGGTTTCTGTAGATTTGGTTTCTTTACTTTTACCTATTCAAAGTTGGTCCTTTTACTTTCTCGAATGATTTATCATTAATCTTGTTGACGATAAAATGTAGGTTATACAACGATTGTAGATAATTTATTTATTTTGATTTTAATGAAGAGTTGTAGTTGACGGTTTTATAATAAGCGATTGATTTTAGATGATAGATCATGTAGGAAGTCCCTCTTCTCAATCTTGCATGAAGGGTTTTATGATGCCCTTTAATACTTGTTTCAGGTCCAGAGTTATTACTACTATTTGTAGATTAAATGAGTGAACGAATATGATCATCTGACGGTGGATTTAGCTCTGGTAGATCATGTGAGTTTGTGGGTTTGTGAGAGATTATTTCAAAGGATTCTAACTAACAAGAACTCTTCTAAAGGCTTGGATAGACGGAGGAATAAATCTTTCGATCATCTTTTTCTATTAAAGAATTTAAAATGAGGATGTATTTAGTGTAAAAGAAGATTAATGGAACGATATAAAAATCTCTCTCTAAAAACTCCTTTAAAAAAGGATAAATTATGTGGGTGGTTTCTTATATTTTCGGTCCGTCCTATTTACGTCTGATCGACTTGGCACGGGGCTGGACTTGGTTGATGCAAGAACATATACAGACGTGGAACAAGATCTATACATACGCGTCGATGCCAATGACTTAGGTAACTATCCTAAGAAACATCGACGTTTACCATATTCAAGTTGCAGATAAATTATCTGTGCCCCCTTTCCATCTTGTTAGCTCGGTCTGCAAAAGAAAGGACCATTTCACAAGAAGGGAGTGCTTGCGATTGCCATAGTTTCTGCGGTTGTACTGTTTCTCATTCTTCTGGCATTTTTCTATTGCTCGGTTAGAAGGCTTAGAAGGGGTACTACATTTTTTCTACTGATTTTATTTGTTAAACCTCTTATTTACTCCCATCTTAATCATTCAAATTATGGTTTTTGCTACTAAATTGGCTACATGCCATTGTGGAGATTAGCAATTGATTTAACCATGTTATGATCGTGTTTGGCAGCAGGAAGAAGAGAAAGGAAAAACACCTTTAGTTTACTAGTAGTTCAGTGGTGTTCGAAGACTCTTTAGATGGAACGGAGATGGATGAGAGGCGAGCAGAAGAAATGGAGATTTACCTTTCTTTGATTTGAGCACCATAGCCGCTGCCACAGATAATTTCTCTACTGATCACAAACTCGGACAAGGTGGATTCGGCCCTGTTGACAAGGTAGCTTTTGTCTTAGCAACAATTTATATACATAGAATTCCTACTAGTCAATTCATTAAAACAAATGCCTTCGTATTTGCAGAGTATGGCTCTTCAATGGAAGAGAAATAGCAGTAAAAAGACTGTCAAAGCACTCTGGGCAGGGAGGACAAGAGTCTAAGAATGAGACCGCGCTAATTGCAAAACTTCAGCACAGGAATCTCGTAAGAATGCTGGGATGTTGCATTGAGGGAGAAGAGAAGATGTTAATCTGTGAATTCCTACCAAACAAAAGCTTAGACTCCATCATTTTCAGTATGCATTCGTTTGACATGATAAATTCTAATAAGAATATTTCATTTTACATGATAAATTTTATATTTCATATCACTAATTCTAGAATTTGGACAGACGACTTTTATAATTGAGGTCACTGGCCGGCGTCTTCTCTGTCAATACTCAAGTCGTATTTGCTAAAATTCTCCTTAAACTTGTATATTCAAAGTGGACGGTTTTGAGAGTCGGGGGTGAAAGAGATAGCATTTGACTAACTGGAAAGAAAATTCTTTAACCCATTGTGACTACCATGATCATCTTCCCAAATTTTAAATAATCTACAGATCAAATGCTGTGGGCGATGACAGATCTCATGAATCCTATTCAATGGCTTCTCATTTTACAGTTCATGTTCTTTCTTTCTCGCTTCTGCTTGTCTGCAGACACCATAACGCAATATCACTTCATCGAAGACAACGATGAAATGATAATCTCCGGTGGCAAGAGTTTTGCACTAGGATTTTTCGGCCCCGAAAATTCCAGGAACCGATACGTTGGCATTTGGTATCATCAGATTCCGGACAAGGTAGTTGTTTGGGTGGCTAACAGAGACAATCCAATTACAGACAACTCGGGGATCCTCAGAATCGACAGTCTAGGAAATCTTGCCTTGTTCCATAGAAACCAAACACTACCCGTCTGGTCTACCAACATATCCATCACAGGCACTAGGAACACCTTTGCTCAAATTTTAGATTCGGGAAATCTTGTCTTGCTTCAGAATGATACCAGAAAGGTTGTACTCTGGCAGAGTTTTGATCATCCTTCAAATACTTGGCTTCCATCGATGAAACTCGGATTGAATTTCAGAACTGGTCTGAACCGAACCATTACGTCTTGGAAGTCTCCGGATGATCCAGGATTCGGAAACTATTCCTTCATGATGAACCCGAACGGGTCTCCCCAAATGTTTTTGTACAAGGGTTCGACACCATTGTGGCGGAGTGGCCCTTGGACGGGGCAAAGATGGAGTGGTATGCCGGCCATGGCGAATAAGTTCGTACTTGATGCGGATTTCGTCTACTCCGAGGATGAAGTGTCATACTCGTCATCTATGAAAAATGCCTCAAACATATTAAGAAGAGTAACCAATGAGACTGGAATTCTAGAAGGATTAATATGGAACCATGAAGACCAACGTTGGATTGCCATGTATTCGCATCCAAATGAAAAATGTGATTTTTACGGTCATTGTGGACCTAATGCTTACTGTAATCCTTATCGCACTGGTGATTTTGAGTGTGCATGTTTCCCAGGATTCGAACCAAAATCACCCGAAGCATGGCTTCTAAGAAATGGGGCTGCAGGGTGCGTGAGGAAGCGTGGTATCTCCATGTGTGGAAATGGAGAAGGGTTCATCAAGTTTCTACATGTGAAGGTGCCGGACACTTCGGCTGCACACATAGACACGACTGTCGGTTTGAAGCAATGCAAGGAAAAGTGCTTAAGAGATTGTTCATGCATGGCTTATGCTAGTGCATACTCTGAGACAAACAGAGGGGCTGGCTGCTTGACATGGCAAGGTGATTTGTTCGATGCGAGGACATTTACATGTACGGGACAAGATCTATACATTCGGGTGGATGCTAATGAGTTAGGTACGTGCCCCACATTTTATTCTATAATTTGCTACCAATATCTACGTGCAAGTTGCAGTTATGACTGTAAACACTGCCAAGTCCTCTTAAATGAAATTGTCTATCTTGATAGCTCGGTATACAAAGAAAGGTCTACTTCAAAAGAAGGGAGTGCTTGCGGTTATCATAGTTTCTTCTACTGTAGTGTTTATCATACTTGTTGCCTTCTTTCATTGCTTTGGAAGAAGGCTAAGAAGCGGTAAGTACCACTTTTTTTTCTACTGCTTTTATTTGTTATACCTCTTATTTTATCATGTAGATGACTGTTGTGTTTGAGTACCGACTGCAGCAAGAGCAAGAAACAGCGAAAATATGTTTAGCTTTACCACATTCGAAGATCCATTAGGTGTAAGGGAGATTAAGGAGAGCAGAAGAAACAGCGATTTACCGTTCTTTGATTTCAGCGCCATATCCGCTGCCACTAACAATTTCTCTTCCGATAACAAACTTGGGCAAGGCGGATTTGGCCCTGTTTACAAGGTAGTTTGTATTCACAATGATTTTCTATACACGTGGACGAGCGATGAAACTCCGATTACTCCATTCTGTTGTGTTTACAGGGTGTTCTGTTGAATGGAAGCGAAGTAGCAGTGAAAAGGCTATCAAAGTACTCGGGTCAGGGACTTGAAGAGTTCAAGAATGAAATAGTGCTGATTGCAAAACTTCAGCACAGGAATCTGGTACGCTTGCTGGGATGTTGCGTTGAAGGTGAAGAGAAGATGGTAATCTATGAATTTTTACCAAATAAAAGCCTAGACTCCATCATTTTCGGTACGAGTTTCTTTCGCACACGCTAGAGACATCACTTTCGATGATTGAGTACTTATATGCCAAGTATTTATCTTCCGAGTACAGATGAATCAAAGAGATCACTGTTGGATTGGAAAAAGCGTTTAGAAATTATCTGTGGGATTGCACGAGGAATGCTGTATCTTCACCAGGATTCCAGGTTAAGAGTCATTCACAGAGATTTGAAGGCAAGCAATGTACTCCTAGATGCCACAATGAATCCGAAAATTTCGGATTTTGGCATGGCCAGAATATTTGGAGCAGAACAAATTGAGGGCAATACTAAACATGTAGTTGGAACATAGTAAGCATTCCTTCTAAAAAGTTTGCTACAGATTCCTAACAACTTCCTAACCATTTCCCTTTTGCCGTCTGCTTTTAGCGGTTACATGTCGCCGGAGTATGCAATGCACGGCCACTTCTCCATGAAATCCGATGTTTACAGCTTCGGAGTCCTTCTGTTAGAGATCATCACCGGCAAAAAGAACAGCAGTAATTTTCCCGACACTCCGTCTTTGAACCTGGTCGGACATGTAAGTAACCAAATTTGAGCACATCTCCGTCAAATTTTCCGGTCAAATGATGATCTCCAACAACATTCGTTTCAGGTTTGGGAGTTATGGAAAGAAAACAAAGCCTTGGAGATAGTTGACTCCGCATTAGCTGATTCGTATTCTGCAGATGAATTTCTGAAATGCATTCAAATCGGACTGTTGTGCGTGCAGGAACATGCAACTCAGAGACCAACGATATCTACTGTTGTTTTTATGTTCGGCAACGAAACGACGATTCCATTGCCGAAACATCCTGCATTTGTAGTGAAGAAAATTAACAAAGGCGACACGATATCGAGCAGTGAAGAAACTAACTCTGTAAATGGTGTGACCGTCTCCGTGATTCAAGCTCGCTAGAGACACAATATATTGTTTCGTAGTTCATCGTCAAACTTCAGCCATCGTTTATGTCGCATGTCATCCATTCAACATTTATTCAACAGCAGTGGGAAAATTAATTTCTATTAAAAATTTTATATAAAAGTTTAATAATTTTGGATATTTTTAGAGTTTTTAAAAAAATTATTTTGAAGTTATGATCAAAATTTGAAAAATTATTAAATCCATATTTTGGATAAAGTTTAGAAATTAAATTAAAAATTAATATTTTATGTTAACATATCACTTTTTTTTATTACTAACATATCACGTTATTAATATAATGGGAGTTAATATTCGAATAATTTTTTATGGTTACAAATGAAGAGAAGAATTTATTTTTATTTTATAGTTTTAAAAATTTTATATGTTTATTTAAATTTTAAAATTAAAATTATATAAAAAATTAATAATTTTTGGAGTTTTTTTAAAGTCTATTTTAGAATTATAGTAAAATGATTATAAAAGTACTAAATCCATATTTTAACTAAAGCTTAGGGTTAAATTAAAAATTAATTCTTTTGTTAACTTACCACTTTATCAAGGTAATAGAAGTAAACGTTCAAGTGGCTATTTTTATAATTTATCGATAACATAAGCGACCACATTATAAATTTTCAATAATGTAAGTGACTATTTTATACTTTATTAAAAATTGAGTGGAAAAGAAGAAAAGATGAAACAAAAGTAACTAAAAGGGTATTTTACCACTAACTTTTAGCCTTTGGGAAAAAGTCAAACAACTTTTTAAACAAAAATGCGTATTAACATTGAAATTTTAATGGTCTTGATGTAAATCCACACCTACTTCTTTTTTATATAATACTATTTGCCATATATATCATATCAATAAGTATTTGAAAATGTATAAAAAATAAAAATTCAAAAATAAATTAAATTTTTTTTAAAAAAAAATTAGTATACAGTACACATAGATTACGACACAAATTTTATGTTAAAACTATCACTGTCTCTGTTATAAATAATAATTTGATTTTTTTTAAAGATTGATGGACAAATTTTATAAAAAAAATAAAGATTAAATTAACAAAAATATATAAATAATGATGTGGTATAATGTCAAAACTAACTCCCAACATTTACTAAAAGGGTAATTTTGGCCCATATTCTATTTTTCTAAACATTTTGGCCCATAGCGTTTCATTTTAAGACAGAAAAATTTCTAATATTTGATAAAATAGTCACTTTTATCCTTATTTTATTTTTCTAGAGTATTTTAACCTCAACATTTCATTTTAGGTTAAAATTGACCTTATTTTAGAGCGTTAATCGTGTGTTTACAAACAATAAACCAAAGACACCAAACGAAGGGGATCGATGAGATGAATACAATAGTACAGGAGATGTCACACACCACCTCACGGGTTAATGATGAATAGAAGAAAAACTAAAATGAAATGTAAAACAATGGAGAAACTGCTTGGGGGCAGGAGGGAAAGAAAGAAGAGAAAATAGAAGTGGGAGTTTTCAAACTACCCAAAATAATTGGGTAAATTATACCCTTGACACCTAAACTTTTTAATTCACGGTCAAACACAGAAAATTTTAAAACTTTTTAATTTAACGTAAGATTAGGGATGTGACACTTTTTATCTCAGAGTGAAAAGTTGAGTCAAAATAGTCCAAAAATAATAAGGATCAAAATAACTATTTTAATAAATATTGGGGGTTAATTGTAATATTATGCCCTTTTTGAAAAAAAAAGCTTAAAAAGCATAAAGTTATATATTAATTTTTTAAGTGACATTTTAAATAATACAGTTTAAAAAATATAAAAAGAATAAAATAACTGATAAGCAATGATTATTACAAACTAACAACAGAGATCACTATCTATCAGCTGCCAATTTTGACCCAAAACCCAGACTTACCTGGAAAGTACGTATTCGGGGATCTTCTTATTTAATCCTGCTATGAACTCCATTCATAGATTGAACCAGTGATGACTCCTGTTAAATGGCTTCTCAGAATGCTCCTTATTTTTATTCTTTCTCGCTTCTCCTTTTCTGCAGACACCATAACTCAACACCTCTTCATCGAAGATAACAACGATGAAGTCGTAGTCTCTACCGGCAAGGTTTTTGCACTAGGGTTTTTCAGCCCTGAAAGTTCCAGGAGCCGATACGTTGGTATCTGGTATCACCAGATTCCGGACAAGACAGTTGTTTGGGTGGCCAACAGAGGCAATCCCATTGAAGATAACTCGGGGATTCTCACAATCGACAGTCGAGGAAATCTTGCACTGTTCCAGAAGAACCAAACAGTTCCTGTCTGGTCTACAAACATCTCCGTCACAGGTACTAGGAACACCATTGCTCAAATTCTAGACTCGGGAAATCTTGTTTTGCTTCAGAATGATACCAGGAAGGCTTTACTGTGGCAGAGTTTTGATTATCCTACAAATACTATGCTTTCGTCTATGAAACTCGGGTTGAGTTTCAGAACCGGTTTGAACCGAGTATATACGTCTTGGAAGTCATCGGACGATCCAGGATTTGGAAACTATTCCATAAGGATGAACCCGACCGGGTTTCCTCAAATGTTTGTGTACGAAGGTTCGGCTCCTTGGTGGCGAAGCGGGCCATGGACTGGACGTACATGGAGTGGTATACCTGAAATGATAACGAACGTCTTTTTTAATGTTTCTTTAGTCAACACTGATGATGAAGTATCGTTCTCGTATAATGTGAAGAATGCCTCGATAATATCAAGAACCGTAATCAATGAAACAGGAATCGTACAAGGATTAGGATGGAACGATGAAGCACAACGTTGGATTGCTTCTTATTCGGTTCCGAAGGAACAGTGTGATTTTTACGGGCATTGTGGCCCAAATAGTTACTGCAACCCTGATATCCCAGATGGTTTCGAGTGTACATGTTTCCCGGGATTCGAACCCAAATCGCCGGAAGCCTGGCTTATAAAAGATGGAACGGGAGGGTGCGAAAGGATCGGGAAACAGGGCATCTCGACGTGTGGAAATGGAGATGGGTTCGTCAAGGTGTCACATGCGAAGGTGCCGGACTCTTCGGCGTCACTCGCAGACATGAGTATAGGCTTGAAGCAATGCGAGGAAATGTGCTTGAGAAATTGTTCATGCATGGCTTATGCTAGTGCAAATTCTGAGACCAACAGAGGGGTTGGCTGCTTGACATGGCACGGAGATTTAGTCGATGCAAGGACTTTTACCGTTGCGGGACAAGATCTATACATACGTTTGGATGCTAATGAGTTAGGTACGTGTCCTACATTCATTTCTTTAATTTGCTACAAGCTCAATTTGTCTCTGATCTATATGTAAGTTGCAGCTACAAATAGACTGTAAACTTATCTCCATTTGCAATCATATCTCCGTTTTGTTAGCTCGGTATGCAAAGAATGGTCTACTTCAAAAGAAGGGAGTGCTTGCTGTTACCATAGTTTCCTCTGCTGTACTGTTTATCATTCTTCTCGCCTCCTTGTGTTGCCTGGTACGAAGGCGGAGAAGGGGTACTGCAACAGTTTTTGTCACTGTTTTAATTTGTTTAACATCTCTTGGACTCACATTTTGTAACTTCATTGACTTAATCATCATATCATGTACTGGCAGCAGCAAGAACAAGAAAAAACAAAAATATCTCTGGTTTTACCACATACGAAGACTCTTTGGGTGGAAAGGATATTGATGAGGGCGGAAGAAATGGAGATTTGCCATTCTTTGATTTGAGCACCATAGCCGCTGCCACTGATAATTTCTCTTCCGATAACAAACTTGGACAAGGCGGATTTGGCCCTGTTTACAAGGTTGTTTATACACATCAACGAGCAATGAAACTCCTATTACTCCATTCTTAAAAGGAAATTCTTTGTGTTTGCAGGGCGTTCTGTTTGATGGAAAAGAAATAGCAGTGAAAAGACTATCAAAGCAATCAGGGCAGGGAGTAGAAGAGTTCAAGAATGAAATTGTGTTGATTGCAAAACTTCAGCACAGGAATCTCGTACGAATGCTGGGATGTTGCGTTGAGGGTGAAGAGAAGATGTTAATCTATGAACTCTTACCAAATAAAAGCTTAGACTCCATCATTTTCGGTACAACTTTCTTTCACATACGTTATCAGGAACATCACTTTTGAAGATTAAGTACTTACTTCGAGTATTTCTCTTCGACTTCGAGTCCAGATGAATCGAAAAGATCACTGTTGGATTGGAAAAAGCGTTTAGAAATTATAAGTGGGATTGCACGAGGAATGCTGTATCTTCACCAGGATTCCAGATTAAGAGTCATTCACAGAGATTTGAAGGCAAGCAATGTACTCCTAGATGCCACAATGAATCCCAAAATTTCTGATTTTGGCATGGCCAGAATATTTGGAGGAGACCAAATTGAAGGTGATACAAAACGTGTAGTTGGAACATAGTAAGCATTCTTTCTAAAAAGTCTGGACTTCTACAGGTTTCAAACAAGTTCTTACCCTTTCTTTTTGTTGTATGATTTTAGTGGTTATATGTCTCCAGAGTATGCGATGCATGGCCATTTCTCAATGAAATCGGATGTCTATAGCTTCGGTGTCCTAATGTTAGAGATCATCACCGGAAAAAGTAACAACCGATACATTCCCGATAGTCCATCTTTGAATCTAGTTGGACACGTAAGTAACCAACTCTTCAAGAACTAATTCAAAATTTTCCATCAAATGGTGATTTTCGACAACTTTGTTTCAGGTTTGGGAGTTATGGATAGGAGGCAAAGGCATGCAAGCAGTTGATTCGGCCTTAGGTGAGTCGTATCCTGCCGAAGAGATTTTGAAATGCATTCAAATTGGGCTAATGTGCGTTCAAGAACATGCAACAGATCGACCGATGATGTCCGCAGTTGTTTCGATGTTGAGCAATGAAACAACTCTTCGGTTGCCGAAACATCCTGCGTTCTTGGTGAAGAAAAACGAGATATCGAGTAGTGAAGGAAATAACTCTGTAAATGGTGTGACTATCTCTAAGATTCAAGCTCGCTAGATATATAATATATTGCTTCTTAGTGTCATGAACAGACACTGTAAGTTTCTGATAACAAATCAATCCCAACAAAGCCATAAATTTATTCTTCTATGGAGACGAAAGATCCGAAGCAACGAAGCATGTTTATAAAACTGAATACTCGTAGTTTCATAAGTAAAAACATCAAGCTGTTCCCTTGAGCTTTTTCGCAATGCCGGCGAAGTACTTCCCCTGGTGGAAAGCTTGCTCCAGCTCTAGCTCAGATGGCTGTCTCGAGCCATCACCGGCATAAGTTCCTGCACCGTAAGGGCTTCCACCTTTCAACTTCTCCAACTCGAACATACCAGCACCGAAAGTGTAGCCGATGGGCACAAAAATCATTCCATGGTGAGCAAGTTGAGTAATTGAAGTTAAGCTGCAAAATTTTCCAGTTACATTAAGTGCAATTAGACACTTCAAAATATCAATGCTATTGGTGCAAAAGCACTCACGGGGTAGTCTCTTGTCCACCTCCTTGGGAGCCAGTGCTGTAGAAAATTCCAGCAGGTTTGCCTGCAAGTGCTTGCGTTCTCCACAGACCACCGGTTGCATCCAGGAAGGCTTTAAACTGTGCAGCCATCATCCCGAATCTAGTGGGAAAGCCGAAAAGGACACCATCGGCCTCGGCAAGCTCATCGGGTGTTATGAGAGGGGCATCAGTCTTTGGTGGTGCACCCATTTTGGCAAGTACTTCCTCTGGTAGCGTTTCGGGAACCTGTCGATAAATACACTTATAGGATCAATTTCGTTGCTCATTCGGATTCCCCTTGCACTAATGCGTGACCATTGATATAAGAAGATAATCAAACCTGCCAAAGCTTGGCTTCTACTCCCTCTACGGATGAAGCTCCTTTCTTAATCTCCTGTGCCAGCTTCTCAACATGTCCATACATGGAATAGTAACTGTAAAAATTAATCCAAAGTAGTATTCAAGTTCATGCCCCTAAAAAAATGCAACAAATGAAACGAAAGATTCTCGAGTTTATAAGTGCACGCGCTACACATCCTATCAAACATGTCTTTTTAGAAAACGAAAATGGTCCGTGACATATGACTACATGTTTATGGCATAATCTACATAATACACATAAAAACAATTTCTTCTAGATGGAAAGAAAGCGAGGGGGCGGGGGGGGGAAGTGATCTTGAAGAGCTATTTTATAAGCTTATCTGTAAGCAATGGAAGCCAAGAAAACGAAAGCCACTTTGTAAAATTATATGCACATAGAAGTGGAGTACAACAAATAATGGATGATGGGACCAAATGATTCAAAAAGAAAAGATCCCTACTATTACTTTATTTGGGTATTCTCTATCGTATTTTCTCACAGTTTCTTCCATGGCTGGTTCCTATTAAGAAATAAATGATTTGAAACCAATAAATTTCATTGTTTTTAGTTGAGAGAACCCCATGAAAGCTCCTTTAAACCGAGGAAAAAAGAGAGAGCTAAGAACAAAATCACTAGTGCAAAATTTGTTAATAAAATCAATCACTAAATCAAACCAAAGCCAAATAATCTGAGTTCAGATAGGAAAAAGAATCAAGGGCTAAATGCATAAGAAGGAACAAAGAATGACTACAAAACAGAGCAAGAGATTCAACATCGGCTAGAAAACAGAGAAACCCCCAAGAAAAACAAAAACAAAAGACGAGGAAGCTTACACAATGAAGACTTTGGTAGCCATTTTGTGAATTGGTTGACTGTGTTTGAATGCTTTGAAGGCAAAGGATCCAGGTTGTTAAAAATGCTGTGTTTTAAGCAGAGAGCGAGGGCAGACAGAACAGAGGAATGGAACCCTTTATTTATAGTGACGTTTAAAGAGAGTTTTGGATCTTCTTTTGTCCATACGGGGCTATTTAATAAATAAAAAAAGTTACAGATGAAATAAGAAACTATTAATTTATCAAAGTTATAGTTAAAACTTGATGATTTTAGTATAGATAAATTATTATAGAATAATTCATTAAATCAAATCAAATTTATTTTATTTAATAAATAAAATTTTAAATTTCAAGATTTATTAATGGAATAAATATGTTTAGGTGGCTATAGGTCGTTTATCCTTCTAATTTAGGTGGAAAATTATAGTTGATAATTAGACGACTATTGGTTAATGTTAAAATATTTATCTACGTGAGGTAGTAGAAGATGGATAAGTGAAGAAAAAGAGATTTTTATCTTTCTTTTTTTTATGGTCGAGAGATTTTATAGTAATCTTTAATGTTGGTGTTTTATTTAGATTTATGATAACTACTGATAAGTTAACATACTTGATAGATGTGAAAAAATGATAATATATTTTGACGCAAACGGATCACGTAAACTTGTCGTCGGTTATGTCAAGGTGTTGTAGCAAGTTGTAGGGAATGAAACTTCCGAGGAAGTTTGAAAGAAGTACAAGAACTTATAGATGATAGAGAGCTCCAGAGATTTTGAACAACTCTAAAAACTTCAATACCAGATAAACAGAGAAATAACATCGAAATGTTGACTCTAAAAACCTTATCTTACGTGTACAGTTTAGGAGTATTTTTTTAATTATTATTGTTTGGAAGTTGCTTTTCCAATAAAATTATAAATATGAAATTTTTATTTAATAATATATATATTTTTTAAATTTCTAAATCTGACACTAATTGTTTTATTACAGTTTGAAAGAGTGTAGGATGGGTCACTAATGGAATGCAAGAAATCATGGTTATGGTCGAGTAATCTTGACTTTTTCTAATGTCTAATTAACAAGAAGAAAGGAGATTTCTAAACAATTAATGACTTAGAATCGCAGCTGGCCAACCTAATATTGAATCATAACTTTTAAAATGCCTATCCCTTTCAAATCAAATTATTTTTTTCAAACTGAAATTTGTGATAAAATTTTAACGACAATAAATTTTTAGGATGTTTTCACTTTGATCGTTTAACTTTTAAAACGTGTATCGGAGTCGCTTAAATTTAAGTTTGTTTGCATTTTGCTCACTGTTGTTAACAACTACTGTGGCATGTACTTATGCTAACAACGATCGAGTCATACTCACATGTCATCTTAGTGTATGATGTTCATTTATTAAAGAAAACGACATGTGAGTATGTCACATAAATCGTAGTTAAAGTAAAAATGAACTTAAATTTAAGTGACCTTCAATATAAGTTTTAAAAAATTTGAGGAGCAGAGTGAATATATTCTAAAATTTCAATGACTACACCAGTATAATTTTCCCCAAACTTCATTCATAAATCATAATCAAAACATTTACATATTCTTAATTTCCAGCTAATGGGAACATTTATAGTCTGAAATTAAATGATTTATGTGATGAAAAGAGGTGCTTTTAGTTTGAAAGTGAGCTGCTTTCATTTCTTTAAATAATGCAATTTAGAAACTGGGACCCACGGTCATAGCCCAATATGAAGCTCTTAACCAGTCATAGGTAGCCACGTTTATGTAATAAACTTTCTTGGTTTCCAATTCATAATAATGAGAACTGTTTTGAAAACCGGACCAGATCGGTCGGTTTAACCGGGAATCGCTATCTGGTCCGGTCTATTTTATCCCGGTTAAATCGGTTCTAGTGAATCGTAAGGAACCGTTTGAATTGACTTTGAACCGCTCGAATCAGACGGACCGTGAATCGGTTTAACCTAAATTTTTTTGTATTTTTATTTAATTTTTTAAATAATTATGAAGTCGTCCGATTCTTACGATTGATCTGACCGGTTCGATCGGTTAAACTAATAAATCGATAACACGACCGGTTCACTGATCGGTCCGATTCTGAAAATCATGATAATGAGAAAATAGAGAGAATATTGCCAAGTCAAATATATATATGTATATATATATACTTTAATTTTATTGTTTTAATCTGAGATTTTAAATATATATCTAACCTTGTTTTCGAACTCTATTATTCATCTCGATTTATATCTATTTTAAACTCATTAGATGACATCAATAATAAAATATTATTTTACTAAAGGATTCGAGTCCGATTAATTGCATTTACAATAAAAACTTATTTTGTTTGAAAGTTGAAACCGCTGTCTTTTATTTCAATTTGCCTCTAAAGAGATCAAAAATTGCATCAATGGATCAACACGGGTTGGTTCAAGTGATAAGTAGTTTGATACCGTTTAAGAAAAATTTCGAGTTCAAGTCTTCGTGTATGCAAAAAATCCATGTTGAGGGACTCACCTACTAAAATTAGGCGTGCAACGCGGCTCGATCCGGATTAATCAAGGTAAAGCCTTGTAAACGAGGGGTAACAAAAAGAAGAAGAAGAAGAAGACTGCGTCAATGGCCTTTGTCTTGAAGCGAGTTAATCCCAAGCTCCCCTACGCCATCAAATTTCATCCCATTTACGCATTTGTATTACACTCCAAAATAGCCATAATTGCAACACCATAATTATGATTAATTATGGTTACCTTAATCTTCTGCAACGCTCTTCTTTGTCCTCTTTTCCTTTAATTTGTTTAGTGATCTTTATGATTGCATTTTGCACTTGTTTTATTACACTCCTTTTGATAAAAAAATGTTAGATGATAATGTAAATAAAGTTGCATTTTGTTTTGGAAAGT